GCAATTCATGAAACATCGAATAGTTGAAAATATGAAGACCATTTGATTCCGATTTATTGAGATTGTGACCCACCATTTCTGGCTTATCATAAAATTTGAAAGTCTCGAATTCAGTCCTATATAGGGGTGTGGAGATATATACTACTTTAAGGTCTTAAATTCACACGAAGCAGCTGTCCGGTGCTTTTCAGTCTTCAGATTAAGTTCGTCTGTAACACACAACAACATACGTGTTAGTAATTGAGTTATTTGAAGTGTTGTTAGACTGATGACTAGATGATATATCATTAATTCCGACAAGTCAATGAAAGAAAGCCAACTGGTACTAATTTTTTAAAAAATATCTCTCCTCTTATAATTCTACATATTGAATTCTGCGCGTGATTTAAGCTCCCTCTGCCTCTGTGCACAATTATGTGATCGTCTTGTGACATCTTCAAATGTGTGTTTGTTTGAAATCATACACTTTGTATGTTAGTTTTTCTCCAATTATCAACAAAAAACATGAATTTTCTTTGGTTCTAATCTTTTTAAACCTTATTAATCTTGATTATAAATCGTTCAGAAGCGTACAAAGTTTATGTTATGAAATGATTGATAAGCAATATGAAGTAGAAAAGAATTGTTTGCTAGTAGTATAGTACAGTTTCTTGTAAATTATCAATATTAAAGTGTTAAATTTCTTGAGTAAATCCAGTTACTTGTGTAAACAACGTTTTACACAAGATTATTTTTATTGGTTTTAAAGAATTATTTTTTTTTGTAAAAAATATTTGAATTGCACACTGGATTGTTAAAAGAGAGTAGTAGATTTCTGATACATTAACTTGAATCGTTATTGTTGGATTATTATACATTAAATATCTATTTTATCAAGTTTTGTTTTTAAGCATTTTAAATAATATTCAGTTTAGGGGTTGTGGAGATTGTTAAGTTTCTGATTGAGATCATGAACCGATTGATGTTAGACCACCACTGAAAACCTGGAAGCACTGGACGGCCGTTTCGTCCTATTGTGGGACTCGGCCGTCCAGTGCTTCCAGGTTTTCAGTGGTGGTCTAACATCAATCGGTTCATGATCTTAATTAAAAGAATTTTATTTCAAGAAAATGTTTCTTGTTTGTTGATATTGTGTTGCAAATCGTATGGATAGCAATCTCCTTTCTCTCTCTCTCTTTTTCTGTTCGGTTTTCAAATATAGGAGATTTTAGCATTAGTAGTAAGTCAGGATAAATTGTCGAAGTATCAGTCGTATTGAACTCAGTCAGATGGTGTGTACTAATGAGTTCAATTTGGAGTTCATTATCTTCTAAACTAATAATAACTAGACAACTACTAAATGAATTAGTAGTGCTTAAGATTTTAAACAACTTTAAATAATTAAGCAAGGTACATGGACTTTTGGAGGTTTATATGCTCATCAGGAGGTTAATGGGCATTTTTTTTAAATGGTGGATGTAGTAGATAATCTAAAATTCCCAAACCATAATTAGCCTTTATTAACACACTTACCCATTCTAACTGAGAAAAAGCCCATTCAAAAAGTTCTTTTTAAATTAAACTTTACAATTAAAATTACCATAAATCATTCCTTAACTTGTGTGTCTTTAACAAAAGTACAGTGATTTAAATAAACCGACTTTGCTTGATTTCAATGATTTCCCGTTTGATCTTTGTTTGCAATAAAGTGATTTGAGGGGGGGGGGTTACGAAACGGCCATAAAAAACTCATTAAAATATGTATTTAACAATAACAAGTACCATTTATCATGTATTCTCATGCTGTTGATCAGATCAAAATCGCTTCCTCATTTTTACTTCATGCACCATATCCTAATGTTGAAAATGTTTTATTACGGGGTTCACGATATGTTACATCCTTCATCTATTCACCCAATAATATATCGGAGAGGATTTGTCTCGATCTAGGTTAAGGCCAACTGGTTTAAGCTTGAGTCCAGAAATGAGTGAATCCTAATCGATACTAACGGCCTAGGGCAGAGAGACGAAAACTATCCTGTCACTTGATTGGTTTACAAGAGAGAGAGAGAGACGATGAGTCAACTGGAACACCACCAGATTTACTCCTGATTTCTCATTCAAATTAGTGGTAAAGGATACATGAATAAGTAGATGACTAACACGACCACAACGCACAAACGACTAGAAAAATAGAGTACATAAGGTCATGTTTAAATCACAGTAGCTTTGGGATAGAAAAGGGTATGGCAGTGAATCATGCATCAAACGAAAGCTTATGGTTTATAGAACAACTTATGACAAAAATAAATGTTAGTATTTTACAAACTTTGGATTAAGAGAAATAGTGTTCCCGAAAATAGCTTCCGTTATTTGTCATGGCTTCCTTATTTCTCTGTTCACATCAGAATGATTAACAGGAAGTCTTATATCTAGGTTTTGCTCTAGTCGACACAACTTGGCAAGGTTTATCCCTAGGGTTCGGACCCAGTATCATAATCAGAGATTTTAACACTGAACTAGTCAAAATTTGACTGTTCTGTTGGATTCATGTTTTTTCATAAATTGATTACTACTAGTTGGTAACCGTTACTTTGTCGGGTTCTTATTGTTGATTATCAAAGTACAGACTATTTTATGTGAAACTTTATTTAACTCATATGCCTATGAATTACATGTTTCTTTTTATGAAATAAATAAAGTTCGACTGTGTGATTATCATTTACTTTACAAATGAATCTATATTCACAAGCTCTATGCATCATAGTATTTCCTCTATCTCTCATGGACTTCCAATCGCAATAGTAGGAAACTGAACAAGTGGTCACAATTCTTGTTCTAACTTCCGATTCATACATGACTCATGCATATATAAATGTATAAATGAGTTACATAATCATAGTAAACATCCAATATTTTCAGTCTAAAAACTGAGTACCATTTTTAATTAGCTGACTGGTATTTATTGTGAACACATAAACACTATGACAATAATTAATGAATGAAAAAGTTTTTAATTAGGATTATATAAATAAACAATAAAATAATCGTTCGATAAATCAATATTATGAGTATGTTTACACAGAAACATTCTGAATAATATTTTAATAGATTTATGTTGGTGAAAAATACAGCGTTTGGATGTGTACATTCAGTAAATACTGCAACAGTTACTTATTGCAAGTTTAATTCCTATTCCATCTATTTTGGTTTAGGTAACCAATTGGTTAGTATCACTAGACCTCAGAAAAGTAGTGACTTTCATAGTTGACGACTGAGTAAACATGTACCAGGTAAATTAGTTATATTATTATAATATTTATCAAGCCCACAGATTGTAGTTTGATGCTAAAAACTATCTTATAAAAGGTAGCTAGTTAACTTATTGCTTATGTTAGCACTAGGAGTTTGTCGAAATTGTAGAGCATTATGCTTTATATTACAGACTGTTCTTTGCTAGATAACCATTTAAAAATAGAAAGCTCTGGACATCTGTTTCGTCTTAATATAGGACTCAAACCGAACCCGCGACTAATGGAGTCCACCTATGTCGAGAAATTACTCACCAATGTCATTTTTTGATGGCTATACAATATTATTTTATTTAAGTTAGAGGTGTACACTATTGATTGCTAACTCAGCGGTCTGAAAGTTAAGAGCTCTTTATGTGGTCTGAATGCTGTAGATTTGATCTCCTCCGGCGTCATGGGTGCGCGCTGGCATGAAGTTTCATTCTAGGTCGAAACAGCTGTTCAATAATTTCATCAGATTTATTCTGGGTGTCTAATTAGTATCAATACATGATGAAAATCATAGAAAAGATATTCCTTATATTTTTGGTAAAAACTCAATGTCTTTGAAAACCTTAATACCATAGAAACCAGATTTGTAATAAAATATCTGGTTCCCCTTTCTACGTTGTGTTTTCTTTTTAAATACTATGAAGAGTATAATATAGACTCTAATGCTTCGCAATGAAACTGTGTTAAAAGGGTACATTTCTGAAAATTACATGAAGTAGTCTGTATTCAACCAGCTAGCACTGATGAACTCAATCTACGAGATGCTAGAATTTTCTTTTATAATTTTTACCTAAATGTTTGTAGTTCATTTCATGAACTGACCTCAGACAACCACTAATACCAGGAAGCACCAAAAACGGGTGATTCATCTCAGTATAGAACTCTTTGATATTGTGCATCTAAGATCCCACGATGAATTAAACTTATGATTTCGGGTCTTTTCGAGGATTATTTAACATTCTGATCATTGAGTTCGTAATTCATAAGTGAATGATGTAATTTAACAGTTTCCACAAACTTTACTAAGATTCCTTACTTTTTCTACTGTATCAGTGTCTTGTAATTCATCTTCTTTCCAATTCACTTTTGTCAGTTTAAATAAATTGCACTGGTTAAAGGATTACTCGACAGGAAATAATGTACCGGATTGATATGTACTTCACATGGAAAATTAGAATCTTTCCTCTTTCATTCCAACTATATGGTTGGATGTTTTAAACAACACTTAACTAATCTATTTTTGTATCACTGATAAACATAATGGTGAAATTACATGAAGTCAATGATTGACGAATAAAAAATAACACTATGTATTTCTGCTTACTCTAGTTAAATACCTCAATGAACATAGAATTACATTCCAGAAATAACCCATTACGTCTTTCAAATAATCTGTCTGAATCGTAATGATACAATTGTGTATTTCTCAAGATCGATCTCTTATTCTTTTCCCTGCAATGTCAATTTGATGCCAGATTGAATCAATCCTACATAATTTTACAGTGTGATAACCACACACTGGATATATAAACTTAGTCTTCGTACTACAAATCCATGTTTTGCATCCTAATGTACAAGGATGATTACATATTTAACGAAACGACATTCATATCTTGTTGACATGAAATTCTGATCCTTTAAGGAATGTTTTGGAATGCGTGTATTACTAACTATTTATTAGTAGTTGATTGCTTTTTATAAACATGTTTTGGATTTTAGTAAGAAAAGGTCAAATGTGGTTACCAGGTGCAATCACATCTGCATTTGTAGCTTTTCTAACATGGTCAGCTTTAGGCAGTCAACCAAGAAGTGAGTTAAACTAAATCCAAGAATTTCATATTTTCATGTTTTGTTTTTGTGTGGGCCAGTTTTCATTATGAATTGAGATCTTTTAAATAAATACCTCTTGAATTTCAGTAATTGTCAGCCGTTATTTAGTTGTATTATCAGAACCAGATAGTTAAGTAGATTTTTGGTTGATCCCAAACGTTTTACGTTCTACCGATCAGCATATTCACAAAATTCTCCACGAGATCTGATGGTCCTGGATTCAATTTTCAGTTAAACTGTTGGTAGACACTGCTGGAGAGTAGCATACTAAAACAAAACAACTGTCCATTTCTTCCCAACTCTCAGTGATTTTTTGTCAAACTTCAATTCGTTATACAAAACTTTAATCTCAATACTTTGCAGAACATACTATAATAGCCATCCTATTGTTTGAATTTTCAAATTACATCATATTTTGCTGCTATTGTTTTGTTAATATTAAATTGTTGACCTTATAAATTCACATGTTTCACCATGTATTTCTCGAGGAGGCAGTCACTGAGTTTAACTGGTTCTGTGGGAATGTTGTCTTAAGACTGAAAAAAAAATTATGTAAAATTAATGAATGTTTATAACTTCTGTTAATAGTCATTATCCACATAGGTCGGGGTTGCATTTCGTTTTAGATCCTTTGATTATCAACCATTCAATGTTTTAGGATAGATAACTTTTTAATACACATAAGGAAGCGCTTTTTTCATTTGATCAACACACCTTTATTTCGACATTATTTAGATACTTGGTATATTGTTAGTATCTCTGTAAACTGGTTCACGGATTTAATCTTATGCAACCAGTGTTTTAAATATTTCAGTTATTAATGGCCACCAAGCTTTACATTTATACAATTAAAACACAATTGTGTGAACGAAGTATATTCTTTTCAATAGTTTCTCATCAGGTTCTACAATTATAAATCCAGAATAATAATCCATTAAATTGGCCAGATTAAATTAAATAGATAGATAGATATATAGATATACGGATATATGTCGTATCATCTGATTTCAGAAGTAGGCAGTTTGTTCTTGTGAATATAGTGAAAGAATAAACTCAGAATAATGATATTGTGGTTCTTTCAGTCATTTAAATATTGTCTATCGTTCCTCATATGTAGAGGTATAGGTGTTCATGTTTTTCTGAATACTTTACGTGTTCATAGTACAAATATATCTTGAACATGTCTAGTTCTTACGCCATAAATCCACTTTACTAAACCAAATACACACTGGGTAGCTAATTTTCTAGATTTTATTTTAGTAGATGAGAAATGATATTTGGATTCTATTAAACCAGCAAAGCATTAAAAAAGATATTTTAACTACTCGAAGAAGAAACTAATGCTGTTAACTGAGGTTAACTTTTAATGATTGCATAATAACACTCAGTGTTTACTGTTAGATTGTGTTAAGAGCTTATACACAGTAATATAAACCAATTAACACATTAATAATCTCAAATCTCCTTCTTATGTCTGTCGTATATTACTAACAAAACATCGCCACTGATTAATATTTCTTCTATGAAGTTTCAATGTTCTAATCTTTTATTAAGTCAGCCAACAAGCTTCATTAGCTAGGACTAAATATTTTGTCCCGTTAATATTTTATGCATTTCTGTAACTCCCCTACAGGATCCAATTGTCAATTCACTTTTCCTAGCGTATGTGGTTGACCTATAAGAATTATTCTCCATTTATCTACAGTCTTCACTGCATACATTTCCTGACGTTACTGGTGGTAGGTATTGCATCAAGCTTAAAAGCAGAACCCTCTATTCTTAGTTGAATTCCGATAGATAGTGTCTTGTGTGGTTTTTCAATAAACGCGACACTAAGAGCTTGGAAGGATAGAGATATACGACATTGATGTTTATTAAAGGTTATCATCATTTTTTTCACATTCAGCACTTGATTTTCAGTCAATCCTTGTCGAGATATGTACATCCTGTACGGATTACATAGGCATACTCATCTTATCACAAGTTGTTTTAGAAAAAATTTGTTGTGTTTAGCAGTGGGATCCATGATGAGCGCTTCGTTCTATTCGGAACTTGTCAGGCTCATATACCTGGATCTATGTTATTATTCTCAATTGGACTCGAACACAATACTTTTAGCTCTAAATGTGGTGTATGCTACGTATGTCGACAGACAAAAGAAGTATGTAACACCAATCAGAAGTGGAAAATCTGGCAGCAGAATGCCTAGAAGATTGAGTTGGAAAGAATAGAAGGGAAAATAGAAAGGAATTATGTGGAGGACAAATGATGAAAATTTGTAAATGTAGTATTCAGTGTATGGTTCTTACTTTTTACCAAGATACTCTGTAATTTTGTATTGAAATTCACGACACTGATACTGACGCATTAACCTCTAAGTTACTGAGGCCAGATATTCACCAGCGTGTTCAACTGTTATGATCTTAATATCATTATCAGTAAGGATTGGGATAATCTCGTTGCTGACGTACAAGACTGAATTTTTGCGGTTATCTGGACACAATAGCTCAATGAATAATCTGTTGTGACTTAAAGCACAAGGTACCGGATCGCAGCCTAAGTGTGAACATCAATGTGCAGATCTAGGTACATTCACTATAGAATGTCAAACAAAACCTAATGTGTTTCCTGGATTCCACTACTAACCACAATACATCTTACCTGAGAAATCGTTGACGTTTGTTGTTTATTAATTCAAATTATATATCCTCTGTTAGATCTTTTAATTACGTGGTACAATTTTCCTTTTATATATATTTATTACAGTTTTATCGTCGAATTTTCCGTGGCAAAAACAAACAGTGAAAAAGATGAACGATGTACAACAGCAAGAGCGAAATTTTACTATTCATCCGCTAGTTGTTGTTGCAGATCAGTTGAATCGTTTATTATCTGATCAATTCACTCAAACCACTAATCAAGTCAAAACATCACCAACATTGACTTCTGAATCGAAACCAAATATTACTGACTCAATTGTTTTAATTAATGAATGCCTACCTGGTGGTGTGAATAAAATCAGTGAACACTTAGGCAAAGATATTGTTACATTGTTAGGAATAACAGTTGTGATCAGTGGATTTGTATATTCAAGGTAAGTAACATTAATAATTGTTAGTTTGGGAGGTTTGTAGAATTGAATTTTGTGGCTTATATCATGCACTGACCTATGTTAGATTAGTGATAGTGACGGGAACGACAAATGTAAACTATTAGGTGCTAACTCAGTGGTTTAAAGTTTGAGCTCTCACCTCAAGATCTAGGTCCTAAATTTGATCCCGGTGGATTAGTGGACGTGTACTACTGAAGAGTTGCGTGACAGAATGAAATATTTGTTCAATACTTCCTGATTTACTATAGTTTTCTAACTAATATCGGTTCGTGAAATGCTAAACTTCAAAATATTTATAATTGTTTAATATAATATGTATATTCTAATTACAAAATTTACAGACATAATTAAGTCGGTTCAAATATGTAGATATCGGTAATAATTTGTCAATTTTTTTGAAACATCTCGTTACACTAATTGTATGTAAATATGATTATCCAGTTATTTTACTCTTAACATCCTTTTTTTGTAAACATTATTGACGATGGACAGTATAAAAACATAATGATTGTTAATAAGAGAAAATGCACACCAATGTATTCGCCATTACAAAAATCGATTTAAGGAATATTCGCTATCCATCAGGAAATATGCTAACGCATTGACAAAAATGAGTGAGACAAACCTTAAAAAAATGGTTACATTACTTGAAATTACAGCTATTTTGTTTGGGTTTGTGACGAATTTAAATCTTAATTTTTGTGTTCAATTCCCCTTGTAAATTATAAATTTGACTTTAAATAGTTGAGGATAATCAATAAGGATACGTAAACAGCACTTACAAAAGTTTGTGTATTACATTTATCAGTTACTACATTCTTTCTTCGGGACACTATTGGATATTATGTCAAGTTCGTGTAGTCGTTAGAATCCTGTATATCGAGTCGCAATGTGTCGACTACCCCAAGTGACTTGATATATTGTCCACTACGTTGAGTCACATGAACAAATGGGTCACATTACAAGCCGTTATATGGAATTAAATCAGCACTAAACGATTAAATAAACATGACATCGTTCACTTTTCAGGGATCAACGAATTATAAATACTTCAGCCCTAAAGCAGGTCAGTCGCAACCGACTAACTCAGTTGTTATGTCTCAAGCTGTGAATCTAAGTGACAGGTTCGAATACCCCAGCGATCATCGGCTCTCTCATGATTACAGACGCGTCCTGTTAACAAGTGGCGATCGACACAAAACCTAGGTCCATGGTTCCCTGCTAACAATGTACCCAATGCTTACAATAGCCTCAAAGAGGCCATTCTTAGACATTTCATCCCATCGAGGGAGGAACATTTCCATTGGTCGATATTTATTTCACCTGTCAAATATCGTACAAATGTTATTTTCTATTTTATGGTACGATGTGGTCTGGTTGGTTGGTATATAAATAGAGTATGTCTGAAATATAATGATTCATATCTCAGAGACTAAGACTCGCGTTCTGGACTCAACTGGCTGGGCTAGACGGGGAAGCGGGACCAATCAGAACCCTAGGCCGTTCATTACGTGTTTTACGTGTCACTGATTCGATCGATAAATACGATGCTCCAACTAAACTGCAATCCACCCGTTACAACAGAAATACTGAGGACATTGTCAGCACATCACCCTTCGGGTGATGCTAAACCAAGCCATCACCTCACGCGTCTGGGATCCCTTGCAGGACCTACAGCAGCCGACTCGGAAATAATTAAAGAACTATGGCTCGAGTTGTTACCGGCTTATATTCAGCCAACCGTGACGGCTCTGCTCGAGGGTGCGCCACTTCATCAGGTCGCCCTCATGGCAGACAAGATTTTAGCGAGGACTAATAACAGAGACAGCTTTGTAGTTTCCTCAGCGGTACGTCCTAATGTAGACAAGGACACCGGTCATTCTTCGGCTCACGGTGACAGAGACGGGTGTACCCACACACGTCTTAGTTTTCGAGACCGTTGTGGGTGGTGTCGAGTCAAGTTTGGCTATGAGCACCACTACAGGGAAACGCGTACCAAATAAATCAGTAGGCGAAGATTGAACGTAACCAGATTTATTTGGTATGCGTTTCCCTGTAGTGGTTCTCATAGTCAACCTCGACTCGACACCACGCTACAACTGGTTAGCCGAATTCTGGAACACGCCTCAATCTCTGGTCAAATCTTCCAAAGAAGTCAATTCGGTGAGTCTATTGTTTATCTATCCACGTCTGTCGTGTATTTTCATGTTAATTTTTAATATATAATTTACTCGACATGACGGATAACGATAAGACTAGTATTAATATCATAGACTCTGACGTACAGGCCATCCGTTTTCTACGTGTATCATTTATCCCCCATGACCGAGATGTCTGGTTCGCTGCATTAGAGTCTCAATTCGAGACTCGCCACATTACGAGCCAAAAGCAAAAGTATGCTTTCGCTCTCGAACCTCTACCCGGGGACCATTTAGTAGCTGCACGTGAAGTCGTCCTCAATTCTAATGTACCGTTCTCCGTAAAAGACCTTCGTTGGCAACTCGAGGGACAATGATAGCTTCTTCTTCCATTAATTCTCTCGTCCTACAATTGCACGTTTGCCGATCAGTCCCACGAATCAAACCGCTACTTACCGAAAGTGTAAACCCTTTCTAGCGGGGAGCTCCTGTAGTGACCTACTTTTACCAAGAGAACGCGATTGATTTAATTGAAACAATTATTATTATAACCAGTTGTACCAGTGATTGTTTTACTGTGCTCGTTTGCTTAACTGTGCTAAAGACAGCCATATTCCTACTCCATTCCTCTCCATTACTTTTCCGCGGATCTAACTATATGACCAGTAATCTCAAACGCAACGGTTGATGCAATATGTCATTGGTTATTGTACTCGACTTTCGACTAATAGGTTACAAATTTAAATCCCGATCCACGTAGTTGAATTTTGCCAACCGAATAGAATTCAGACACACAGTGTAGTTCGATGTCTAGTGCATAAGCCTATAACTGATAAATAACTTACAAATCAATTTTATAAATGAATTCATAAGTACATTTTGATGCTAATTAGTAACATAACTCTCATTTTTTTTCCTCATTGTTAGGCATATATAATATTTCCAAGCATTTCGTTAATTTATTTTTCCTTGTTAGTAATGAATACTCTTATTATACAGCATAATGATATCGGATAAAAAATTTTCTTACATTGTTAGCATAACATCCAATAAGCTTTTCATATATTTTTTTTACATATGCATATTGTTGTCTTGTTTTTTTTTGTAAATGGACGATTCAACATCGAACTGTATCCATTCATTGGGTGTATTTATGCTATAATGTAAATTAATTATAGTTAGACATCTATTAATTTTTTTATAGTTACGAATTTATTGTAACTTGATTACATCATGTTTCACTATTTCATGTTATTATTTATCCAATTCAATAATCAAAGTCTGGGTTTAAATCATTGGCTTTTGGATCCTGCTTTACTTCAAGTGATGATTATAATGATGCTGTCCAATTTTCTGAGATAAAATGAATACAAGGGAATTAGAGTTTATGGTTTAATGGTTAAAAATCAAATGCTTGAGTTACTAAAGTCTTACTGTGTTATCTTAAATTAGAAATTAAATTATATCTCATTTTATTTTTTGTGTAATTTGTTCTAATATTTATTTTTGACAAAGTTTGTTCAATTACTGATCAGTACGTATATGAACTGACCTAATAATAGTTCTTGAAAAATTCCTACAATATTATGGACTGTAAATGAAGATAACTCATTGGAGAAGACAGTTTCATTGTGGTACAAAGCGGGACGATTGTCAACTTGCAATCTTTGTGGAAACATCTACATTTGATATCTCTTGAGCTTTTGATCAGTAATTCACTATTTGGATGATTAATAATTAAATGGATTCAGAAAAATTGTCTTTGGTTGCTATCGTAACAAAATGTTTGTTTTGGTGCGATACAGAAATCTCCTCGAAAAAAGCCAAAAAAGGCTTTGAAAACGCTGAGAAGCATCTTATCTTATCTTAGATGTTTTGCGCGAAACATCTAGAAAGTGAGTCGTCACATGTCGAGTTTTTCATTGGGTGATTACCTATGTTGCTACAATGTTTAGTAGCGTTTCAGAACTTTCCGGAAACCCAAGGCCTTCGAAAATACTATGAGGCCCTGGATTTTCTGTGCATAAACGAACATTGGAGTAAAGCATTTCTTTCATATTTCACGCCTTTTCTCTCGTGTTCAAGTCGCTGTGTAGATTTAGTCTGGGGGTTACTAGAAGAGCTTGTGAACCAAATCTAGCGTTCAATTAAAACACTTATCAGGGGCGTCGGGGAAAGCCACAATGAACATTTCTTTGGAGCAACTAGATGCCTATACGGAGCATCAAGAGAAGCGGTTTGAACAGTCGCAAGTCAGAATCATGAAAGCCCTTATGCCCAGCAAAATCCAGCTTCTGGTGAATTACAAGTATCTCAAACTGATTCAGTCATTAATGCGACCCATGAATTTAATTTTGGTGGTGTAGCAGGTGTTACTTTTGGTTCAATAAATATGAAAATCTGTTCCATATTGATCTCTGCAGACTGGATGACGCCTCAAAAGTCAGAATAATTTTAAGAAAACTTGGGATGACGGAACATGAACGCTATAGTAACTTTATTCTTTCAAAGAACTCATGGGCCTTTAATTTTGATGAAACAATTAAAACCCTGTCTCACATCTCTGGAGAACAGTCATCTATATTAAATATCTGTTGTTAATGCTTGAAGATAACGAAAGAACAAGGAGATGACTGAGTGAAACATGCAGGAATTGTGAATGGAGAATGTGAGAGATTCAAATTGTCTTCCATGACAGAAGACCAGTTTAAATCCCTTGTATTTGGATGCAGCCTGCATTCACCCGAGGATATCTGAAAAAGAATCCTAAACAAACTTGAACATTGTCCCAGCATTACTCTATAGGAATTAGCTAGCGAATGCCAAAGATTAGTCAAGTTGAAACATGACACCTTAATGGTCAAGAGCAGTGTCCGGTTTCATCACGTCAATGCAGTCAAGAGAAAAGTTTTACAGGGTTCTAGCACGCAGAATTATCGTAATGACAGTGGCAAATCATCATCCCCATACTGGCTATGTGGCCATTGGCTTTTCAAAAAAATTTATCCGTTTAAAAATCATCTTTGTACTACGTGTTCCAAAAAACGACACGAAGAAAGTCATGGCAAAACCCGGAAACGCCGTCAATCGAAAGTGTATTCTAAAAGATTCAAGCCCCGATCAACCAAAGTAACGGTAGCTCTCAAGAGAACCGGCTGATGAGTCCCGAATGGGACGAAACGTGCGTCCTGAATTCCAGTGCTAGCCACCATCATCTCAGCTTATAATGCTTGTGACTGAACTCAATATCGAAGCAATCTTCATGGTATGCGCATATGCCATTAATAGACTGATCAACTGCAGTCCTGAACATCCATGGGAAAATTCAGGCAACCAATACAGATTTGAAGTAACCTGTTATCGTTTATGCAGTTTTTCTTGTCATTAAATGTTTAAGAAATTAGACTGAATCAATTGAACACTGTCTGGCTATAGGATAAAATGTTCAATTATAATTTACTAATCTAAATTATCATAGTATGATAGACATAGATGTTTGAACTGATTATTTCTTTGCTTCATTATTATTCACTATAAATGAGATATAATTAAAATATTGGACATAATTTCAATTCTCTTGACAAACGAATATATCAGAATGAGTTTTGTGGAGATTTTTAAGAAATTTCACAGGTTGAAATCATGAGTCAATTGAAGCTAGACCACCATGGATAACCTGGAAGCACTGGACGCCCGTTTCGCCCTAGTATGGGACTCCTCAACAGTGCGCATTCACGATCCCCCACCCCACGGGGTTCGAACCCAGGACCTTCTGGCTTCGCGCGCGAGCACTTAGCCATTAGACCACTGGGCCGGCATCCAACGGTGTTAATGTCTAACTTCAACCAATCCACGAAGTTGCGCCACCGAACACCATTGTCTTCAGTGAGCTGATATCTCACAACAGACCAGGTTGAACTCCAGTGCTTCAAGGTTTTCCATGGTGGTCTAGCTTCAATTGACTCATGATTTCAACCTGTGAAACGAATATATGTTATAACCTGTCCTTTATATTTGCATTATTTTATTGAAAGTTTTAAAATATATTTTAACCGGATTAAATTTAATTATTCATGATGGACAGAAACAAAAAAAATACACTGCACTTGATCGTTTTCTTTTAAAAAAATACTTTTAAAGATCTATTTATGACAGTGAAAGTCATAAACCTGACAGTTTTTTAATACCTTCTTAGCTGTTAAATGATAATGACTACATTTTGATGTTTTTCTTTTTCCTTCCCCCCTCCCCTCATATAGTAGTAAACTAATAAAAATCATTTTTATGATTATTATTCAAGATAATTTTTATCTGTGCGATGTCTTTTCTCTCGTTTTACTTTCTCATAAGTGTTGCTGTTATTTCGTTTTCTGGTTTAATAATATTGGGTCGTAATGATGGTTGCCCTCTAGTATTGGAATGTACAGTCAGACTGATTTGTATGCACATATCTTTCTAAACCTAAAATATTGGTTCGGGACTAGTTTGTATCAGTAGCTTATCTAAACATAGTGAGTAAATTGATCAACTGATATGACAATTACACTAGCCCTTGGAAAATCTTGGTATAATGGATACGGATGCATAATTGAGTTTCAGCGATTTGCACTATCCGTGACTTGATATCCCTCTACCTATCAAGAAGAAAACTTAGTACACAGCATTCCTATTTATGTTACTTTACATTGGTGATATATTTTTTATGAACTAAGAAGACTTGAATAGGTTGCTAGTATTTGATAAATCCGATAAATTTTTTGCTTATAGTATAACTTCGGAGTGAATTCTGATTAGATAGAAACAGTAAGGTGGTTGATTAGAATATAAACCTTAATCGATTAGTATATGTAAAATGTATTTCTCGATATACACTATTCCGATATGCAGTACTGATGAGCAGTGGAATAAGTTGGATGAAAGTTTGGGGCGATTAGAGCAAACAGGATATGTACCAGAAAGTTCACATTTCACGGTTTGGATCTTTGTGATAATTATGACCTATAATTGATGACTTTTCCATTAAAACCTAATCTGATCAAATAGTTATTATGTGAACCATCAAACTGTTATCTATTATATATAACATACATGGCTCAAAATCGTTTTCAGTGACACAGGTGCATCCACTCTTGGTGTTCTCACAAATTTTAATCTTCTGAATTCTTCATGTCCCTTTTTTTTCTCTTTCCAAATTTATTTCACTGTATTATACTCCTTGAATAACATCTTCAAACCCTAATCTTTCCGATTACTGCTTATACTCTTACTACCTCTACCACTACGGGATTTGAATCGACAATTGTATCTGTGTGCTAATGTGGTGTGGCAACTCGAACTGATGTACGTACGCACGTACGAAGTTCAACGTTGTTACTGACTGACTGATATTGCATACCAGTAACAATATTGTTGTTCATTTGAGAGCCGTAATTTGTAAGTATAACTTCACACACTAATGACTAAAGATTATGAGAAATTCTCTTCATTCATTCCAGTAAATGTTAAGGTGTCCATAAAAATTATTATTGTTTAAATTCCTACTTTTCCCACCAAAAAGATCGGAAATTAAAAAAAACTGTTGAAATTGTACTTCTTTCGTATTGGTTGTTTAGACGTAATTGTTATTTTAATGAACTGTTTAATTGACAACTTTCCAAAGTCACTTAGGTAATATTTCATCAGTTGTCTTTGTCCATTTAGTTGTTTACTTAAGAGAGAATACCTCTTCTTTTTGTCATGATCAATCTCTACTTCACTTTTTTAGTTGTTGTACATATATCGTTGAGATGTCATTATGTAACATAGTTATTCGATATTGTAATACTCGTAGTCAATTTGTACTTTTATCAGTATGATCACCCAACCCTTTTTCATTTTCATTAATTTACTTATGAATATATCAACATGAGATACCGCGTCGAGGTTTATCATTCTTGTTGCTAATGCTAATCACTCTACCATTGTCTTTTTGTCTTCATCTTTTTTATTTTAGTTTCCGTGCATCTATGCAAGCAAGACGTTTAGGTATTCGAACACGAAGAGAGCGTTTGGTGAGTATCAGCTATATGTATATATAGTACGAAGTATTTAACAGTTCACGCTATGCATTGCAATATCAGTGAAACCATTTACTCGTTTTGATTTCGAAATATCCTACCCGTAGGTATCTTTGATTCAGTATGGTTAAGTAGATAAGCTCGTCAGCCACTTCACTCTTGAAATTTTTACCTTCTGTGATTAGTTGATATTTGAGAAAATCTTGAAGTATATCCAAAACGTTCGTCTAGGTTTTGCTAACTTACGCCACTTGTGGAGTAGCCAAGATGATCATCTGCTTACGAAGTTATGTACATATTACTCAGTTCACTCTGTGATATTGTATAGGTGTGAGACATGGTCTATAAAAGTAGGAGACATGTGAAGACTACGCTATAGGTGATATTAGACTGTAGTTTGTGAATCTGTCTTTTAGATCAAATACATCTGACTAGATAGATATAATAAATCCTCAATTCCATTTCCTAGTTACATCAATGTTTATGTCAAATAAATAGGAACAGTTCCATTGTCATTCTAAACATTTTATTAATTGCCATGTCCATGTTTTACAGAATAGTTCAATAATCTGAATTAGTTCCTTGAAATTAGTTTTTTTCTCTTGTTTTCATGTCCATATTATTAACACAGATTCCCTTAAGTACAAGATATAGCTATGTAAATGATTTCGAATTGGTTGTCAACACTTTTACCATAATAAACCTGAATTACATAATCGTAATCATTAGATAAGATTTTTAAAGAAAATTGTTTATTCCGTGAAATAGAATACATGTAAAGCATTAAAATTATTATACACCATCTCATTAGTTAATACAGTTAACAATAACATAATATTTATCGATGTTCTTTTTAACAATCGTCAGTAAGTTTAATATATAAACATTATAGTGTGATTTGTATGATTACAATAATGATATATTTTGAATAGTTAAGTTGTTCTGCCTTTGATAAACACCTTTCCACTCTTCCAGTAAAACTCTCGAGATTTTATGCAATGCTTAAAGTAGACATTCTTGTTAACACTTCATAATTAAATCAATCGGTATATTTGATGGGTTTTATATTAATGAAATGAGGATTTTTGCAAACAGTGAAATGGTAAGATATTTAGACTGATGATGACCTCCATGTTAGTATGATAATAAACTTGTCCATCAGTTTTTAGCCGTTATATATATATATGTGATTGACATAAATAAACCTTTATACGAAAATCTAATTCAATGTATTTCATGTAATTATATCAGTCAGTCGGCTACAATATAGGACCAGGCACACATATGCATCGGTCCAAGTTGCCATACCTCATTAGAACAACACGATGAACACAGGATTCATAGTAATTATATCATCTATTCTGTAATAAGGTTTATTTCACACCTTTAATATATTTTTAATACTGAATGAATAAATAAATGAACGAGGTAAACTGTTTAGAAATAAATCCAAGTATAAATGAATAATGTTATTTTTATTAAGTTGAATTTAGAATATTGGTTTATTCGAGCTTATAAATAAAACAGTTGTTCAGTATTACGTAACTTTTATTCATCATAAATATATACATTCTGAAAATGTCAATTCATTACAGTCATGATTAAGTTGATACAAAACACAAAGCAACATTCCAAAACGATAAGGTGACATTATTCCAACAAATTGTGTTCCACAAACTATTTTGACTGGACATTTGTAATGTTGTTTTTGAAAATTGTGAAAAATAAGTTGCATACAGTATATTTTTTAATATGAAGTGAAATCATCTTAAAATACAGTTTTTAACGACAGGATACAAATTATCAGCATAGGGTTGTGGAGATTGTTAAGTTTTTAAGATTGATATCATGAATGGATCAATGTTAGACCATCACTGAAAACCTGGAAACACTGGACGGCCGTTTTGTCATGTGCTCACTAGTGGACTAGCTTCAAGATGGATTTCCTGGAGTTCTAGTGAGAAGCCGTGACCAATGGAGTTCAAACGTGTTTATTGTGAGGCAGTTACCCATTGAAGACAATGGTGAACAGTCGCACAATATCGCGGATTGGTCGAATTTAGACATTAACACAGTTGGATGCTGACTCAGTGGTCTAGACTTTAAGCATTCGCGTGCGAGACCGAAGATCTTGGGTCCGGATCTCGCGTGAGGGATCGTGGATGCGCACTGCTGAGAATATAAATTGTTATAATGACTAATTGTGTATGCAAAAGTTGGTACTGTTACATAATTTGTGATAAACATTGTCAGGTACCTTTAGAAGATGGCATAACTGCAAAGTTATGTGCATTCTATGTTATTGGATGTTAACTCCTTTCCTTGGAAAGTACACTTAACAGTTTATTCACCAGATTTCAGCTGCTCAACATATATACGAACAAAGTTTATAATGCTTTTGCTCAAATTTAGTAAACATTCTCAGGAGATACATAAAATGTTTTGTGGAAATCGTTCGTTCATTGAGTAAACCATCTGTTTTCAAAAAGGCTATGCGTCTTGGTAATCACTGTAAAGGCTCCAAGGATATTGGAAGGACAGAGAAAAAAAATTTCTTTATTTATGAGGTTATTGGACATGTGTTTGTTCTTTAATTTCTGATCACTGATTCCTTGTCCCGATTATTACTGATAAAGAGATATTGAATACTTGGTATACTTTTTGATAAACAAATCGATCAATAATATTGAATACCCTTAGTTTACATTCTAATTATGTAAAACAATAAACCCTTTCAGGTTCCCACGATATAGGGCGATAACGAAACATTTGTGTAATAAAAATGAAGCATGAAAAACATGAGTGAAGTAATAAATATGCAAAATAAAAACAGTTAAAATGATTTTTAACAAAAATCTGTTTGTCGAGTTTGTCAGTTTATTTCCTTGTATGACTTATAGAGTTTAACCACTGGTTCCTAGCACTGACAATGTCGAAGAAAAAGTTTCCAACTATATAGTATTTGAATACTTTTTGCGATCAATATTTATTGAACTAATATACACATATAATGGGAATTTCTGTTGTTGTGGACTGATATCAGCTTGAAAACTAGGATTAATTAGGCAATTGTTTCATTTCGAGCTTGGAACTCCTCACCATGAACAACGTTGAATTGTCAAGTCAGCAAATTGAAAATGGACTAAAGTTCTAAATAGAAACCATTTTACATTGACTCGGTGATCGAAAAGTTGAACTCTAAGGACCTGAATGTCTTGGGTCCTGTCTCCTGTGTAATTACGGACATGGACTGCTGAGAAGTCCTCTACTAGAGTGAAACAGTTGTCCAGTAGTTACCTGAATTAACTCAGTTCGTAATGTTAACAATAAAGTTGAGACTGTCAGTCTTTGAATTTTGTCTCGCAGCTATTCTGAAGCTGATATACTTGCCAAAAGATTTGATGACTCTGTCCGATGTCACGAGTGCACGGTACGTAGTAGTTACAAACTGAGATGGAAGCAGCTACCTAGTTCTCTTTGATTTTCAGTGTCAGAAAGCACTTTCAGACTAAAATAATTTCCGCAAATCACCTAACCAAATGATACCCATATTTATTGATGTAACTTAATTATAGGAATGAGATGTATTACTGCGGCATATTTCTGTATTAGTTCAAGTTATCACTATACAGCAACCAGATGACTATAAAAAGAGATAGAACAAGTAGTATTATCAATGTTAAGAAAAAAGATTATGCATAGTGAATATGAATACTGACTAAAGAATGAATTCACTGCAAAAATCTATGGATAGAGATCATATCTTGAAAGTTAAGATAAAATAACATCACTTGGTGTTATCTTGTAAACATACTTATCAACTTTAACAAGAATATATACCGTTGGATGTTCCTTTGAAATTGGTTGCATGTTTAAAAGAAGATGAATACTTTTTATGTTTCCTACAGAGTGTCCTTATGCTTTTGTGTCCCCTCGTGGCATAATATACAAATCATATCTTAAAATAAACAAACTATGTAAATGGACACTTGTTGATAAAACTGTTAGAGATACTGTGTTTTTTTCTTAAAGAAAGTAGTGCACTTTGATTAAACAGGCTAGAAAAAATGTCCTTTTTCTGAAGATTGGATTTTATAAATTCCTAAAGTTGTAAAATTTACTAGTTAAAATCAAAATTTCCTCAAATGAATAGGGTCAGAGAAAATAGTTTCCTATAGACGATGTTCTACATTTAAATAAACAAAACAAACCAAATGATCTGGCTAACAGAATGATATGAAACATCATTTAATCAAAAAAATATTCTTTCTAGTGATTGGATTCTCATAAAATGTATTGTTGTATGAAGTTTTTTCGTTGTAGAAGTATACCAGATCGTTATGTACAGAAGCAATGTTCACTTTCATTACAATTACTGTAGTTTCTTTTATATTTCTTCATTTTTTATATTCTCGTAATTGCTGTTGGATTGTTTTTTTTATCCTTAAGTTACGTGTTATCTGATCCTGCTTAGTTCATTGTATACTAAGGTTTTCGACCAAACATTTCATTCATCTATTATTTTTGTACTGACTTCTTCATTTACTATCTAAGTGAGTTTCGTCATGGATTAAAATCATTTGTGGTATCACTGAAAACCAATATACACTAAATAAAGCTAGAACAAACTTTGATGCAGAATAATATAAATTCATCATATTTCGTACTTTCGCATCAGCTGCTTACAACCATATATGTATTAAAAGTTAACATTGAGGTATGATATAATGTGAAACAACTGACATAGATGAAGCTATCATTATGTATATACGCAGTTGGAATTGAAGACATAAGAGGTGGGTGATGCATTAATCAAATGACGTCTGTAGAAGGATAAAGTGGATTGTGTGATAATTTTAGAGATTATGAAGGGTTTACATAAGATAACTGGATTAGACTGATAAGATGGGTTGTGTAATAATTGGACAGGACTTGAAGAGTTTACATAAGTTACGAGAATTAAGCGAATGCAAACGTAATAGTGAAAGGATAGTTTTGGTGTACATAATATAAGACCATGTGACATAAACACTAATAAAATAATGATAATAACAAAAAAACTCACCAAGGTAGTGATAAGTTTATTACTGTCTCTTTCTGGATACATAAATCAGGTTTGAGCTTTCTTATTGCTATTGCATCAATATATTTAAAAAATGTTACGTTCTGTTGTCTGCTGATAATTTTAAAGGCTTGTGGCCCGGTGTTAGGCAAATGCCGAGCCATTTTGCCTCTCATTCTCAAGTTTTTTGGGACATGTATTCTCTCTCTTCTTACAATGTATGGGCTTTGGCACATACATGTAAATTGGCAAATGCATTTAGAGGTACCGAGAAAAGAGGACCTGTCGATTTTTGTTTGAGTGAGTAGTTTGTTTCTTATATTATTCTGCATCAATGTTCGTTCTGGCTTTACTCAAATTATTAAAGGAAAACAATAGACATTGAACAGCTTTCTTTATCATAACATGAGACTTAGCAGTGATGCATTGCTCTACAACTTTCAGCTCTCTTAGCGGGCACAATTTCTTTAGACCATTAACTTGAAATTCAATTTCAGTGTTGTATTATAATCATTCAATTGCACCAGTGGTGATTGTCCTACTCCCTATATATGGCTAAATCTTATCAATTATAACTTCATTTTACTCACCATTAGGCTCTTTACTCGATTGTTATAACGGTAGAACAAAATGTTCCCCTTTGCCGCGGTATACCACTATTATTCGACCGGTAAATAGGATTATACTATCATCAAACCAGATACTCGATCGATACACTACATTTAGACGGGATCTCGTTATACCACATACATGATTCATGATCAAAAATAGGGCATCAGAGCATATGCTAGACAATACTTAGTTCAACACAATTGCAGACAGTTCACACTTTCAATGAGTCCGGTATCGATTCCAATTGCACGAGGGAAACCATATATATTTAGTCCTGTCTGTCTGTCCGCGCTCACTGGCCAATCATATCTATAACACGAACTATGCACATGAATACTGTAAAAATAACCTTATTGATCACATTAAACATTCCATACAAATTTACAATTATATGTGGATTTAATAGTCAAGTTTTTTGGGAATACAAGTTCTTTGTTGAACTATTTGCTTTTTGTCTTAATCGCGAATAATTCTGAATCAGATAAACCTATGCCATATTGTTGAGATCTCACCACATTTTTACTCTCCGTAATACTTCAGTTATCATACAAATAAAATTTGACACACATTAATACCATTGAAGTAGATCGAAAGTTATGGTAATAAAAATGATAGGAATGTGAATAAAACTAAGAAGATTGAATGCATTGCCTCAGCTGAATATTGTATCGAAAGTTAGATAAGAGAACATGGAGGGATAGAACAAACAGTTGTATAACGAAAAAAGGTGAAACCAAGTTTATAATGATTGACAAGTATTCTAAGTTGGTTAAAATGAAATTTTAGTATAAAAAACCTTGAATTTATTGTAATGAAATTCGAAACGTTTAAACTTCTCGTCAATAAGGGGAGATGGGACCTAACAATCGCTTCCGTATGAACTCATAAACCAACTTTCAGACGTCTAATAGCTATAGTGTTAGCAAATTTAGAAGCACCTGACTTTGAGGCTTGTTAGACATCATAAGGGGATTCCGGGCTGATGTTGATTGCCTGTTATTTACTATGTTTATATGACAAATTAAGTCAGGTTTTTAGATATCTCACTTCTGAATGCATGATATCTGGAATATAATCAATTAAATCTAAGTTGAATTCTCCATTCTAGTGATTATATGCTTTGTCTTATCAAGAAAAGCATTTTTCTATTTAGCATTCTTCATATTGAAGACATTTTCTGAGAATCTATACGCTCTCGTGTTATTTAGATTGTAATATCCTAGCTATGTTGAATTGCTTATTAACAAAGGTATTCACAATTTTAAAGAGAGCAAAAGCAAAGTTTGGTGCAGAATAATATGAATTCATTTTATTTCGTCAGGTTCTCATCAGCTACTTACAACCTGTAATATTTAAAATCAACGTTATTACAGATATTGGCATACTTATAGATACGTAGATGGTTAGAGATAAATGTTTATTATGATGTAGCGAATACTTCAATGGAGTTAATAAAGTCATAAAAAATTTTGTTTCGGATGAATAAATAAAGTTTGAGAGGCCAAGTTCTAAAACACAGACGTAGTGATTAGGAATCATTGAGTTAACAAACATTTGATAATTGTGTAATGAAGTAAATGAAAATAGATTAATAGTAATAAAGAAAGATATGAATTGATATCAGTCAGTTATGAATGAAAATTATGAATTCAAGAAAATGACAATGATGTAATCAAAACTTGAGAAAAAGGTGAAATAATGAATGATGCAATAAAAACGATGTAATGTTACTAGGGCAAAGAAAGATTTATTATTGTTTTTTCTAGACATACAGATGTGGTTTTAGACGTTTAATCGCTATTGCTTCGTCAAATTTCAAAAGATTGGAGTGCGATCGTTTATTAATCACCTTGAAAGAATTTAGTGTATCCACTTGATGTCCTGTATCAAGATGGCTCTGCTGAATGCTTTTAATCCATTTGACCTTAGACTTTTGTAATATGTTCTTTGAATTGGTTTTAGGCTCTCCCTTTTGTTCTACCAATGTAACTGCTCTGGTAGATACATGTGAATTTGCATACACAGTTGGTGGTAAAAATTCCCGAAGATTCTTCGGCCTTTAAACCCGAAAAATTGAGGATCGTCAAAAAATGTTTTGTGTATCCCGGGTTTTTGCTAGAACATTTTCTCTTTTTTACTGTTTATTGCTCACAGATTATTATAGTTGATCAAGATACATGAAATGGTAGTGAACGTTTGTAGCTCAGTTGGATAATTTAGGTGGAGTTTTGTTCTCTATGGTAGATGGTTTGGTCCTGGAGCCTTCATTGTTTTTCAGTGAAAGCTGCACAACCAAACCATGCACCTCAGAAAACAAAACTCCACCTAGATCTAGATAAATATTTCATCACGATTCTTTATAATAAATTAAGATTACTTACTTCATCTTCCAATATTTTCCCTCTTATCGCAGAAAGCCGTCCTACCACCTATTCACGAAAATAGCCAATTTAATGAATCTCCTCTACAATCTTCCAATAATAACAAACCTAATCAGTCTTCCAATCCACTTGTAACCAATGACTTGAATAAATCTCCAATACGTTTTATGAATTATAAAGATGTAAAACGACAAGAGCATGGTAAGTGGATTGATTGTAATAAGTTATTTTTGTGAATTACTCGTAAAAATATATTTTACAATAAGTGACCTATTTTTATTGTTTACATATACCTCATTTACACATGATCAAACTTTAACACATAAATTTAAATTCTTTTTACCAACAGTAAACTTCCACTTTAGAGCGATTAGTTAGTTGATTTTTGAAGCCTACACGAACTTCTTCAGTTGGTCTAGATAAATCTGAACGTGTTTGACAATCAGTAGTAACGATTGATTGTGAAAGCATAATTTCTTGATGAATATGTTCGATCATCTGATATTCAACAGTGACCTTTCTTGACATTTACATTAATTTCGGTCATGGAGCATTCGAAGTGGATATTACGTCTAAAAAAACTGGTCATCTGATGCTTTCATCATTATTAGTAAGCCTTTGAGTTGTCCTGCTTTTAATATCAAGGACTAACTTTAGATCAGTTTTTATTGGCATATATACATTACCCGTTATTTAGGATAGATGAATTGTTGGTAGCGATGGAAACTAGGGCAGACGTTCCTCTCTGTTTAAGACTCGCCAGGTAAATGTGTCGACATCCTATTGCTGATACCCACATTGGAACCGGAACCCAGTGGTCTTCGCCTCAAAAGCCAATGGGTCATCTACTGATTTACTGAGTTAAGATATCCAATAACTTATTCGGCAGATATGGTTTTTGGAGCGAGTCCCAAAATGACCATTAACACTGGGATTCAGGTAAACCTATCTGGAATGTTTCAAACAAGGCGAAACTTGTATTGTCAACTCCACTCCAAGCCACGATTCACTTATCCTAAATCTCCAACTTATGGTCCTCGACTGTTGGCAAATGTTTAATTACAGTTGGTAAATCTGAAACTATAAACATTGGCATTTTGTGTCGCATGCCACTATAATCATTATTTGGGCTGTTGTATATTCGAAAATGAAATTGTTTTTGTTATGTATCTGCAATAAAAAATATTTTGTGTGAACTTTTAACTCAGTTATCTAACCAGCAGGCTTTCAGCCATTGTATTCTATAATGCAATGGATTCATTTTTACTTTTGTTTTGTGTTAGTCACTACATATTTAGTGTAGCCAATACACAAATATGTATGACTTTGTTAAGACTACGTTTTTCCATCGATTCTTTAATAATTTGTACTAAACAGTAACGATATTTGCTACTTATGTGTATACTTGGTGGTTTGTGTTAACCAACCAACCATATATGTTGGTCTAAACTACATATGGATTTGGTCAGTAATTTCGCCTCAAAGTATATGTTTTTGTATTCCGTCCGAAGCGTATGTTTTGATTAACAATCATTTCACTAGCATTCAGGCTGTTATCTTCTATTTAAGTTCATGAATATAAGGTATTGTGACTAGTTGTGTTAAATTGATTTTCTAGTCTCAGTTAAAATCTAGTGGTCAGTAGTTTGTTTTCCTGTGTCAAAAAGACTTTCGTAATATGTATAAACATTTTCATTTGTTTTATTTCACTAAATTAAAGTCACTTTGAGACTTCATCGAGTTTCGTAGTCATATTATTGTTACAACATTTCACTTTTCTAAACATGTCTCATGGTCCGCATGTTGGTTTTATCTTTTGAGTCGGCAGTCGGAAATATTTTTTTGGTTTAGCTGCTCCATTTCATCTTTTTATGATCATGCACCGTTGGGAATTATTGCGATAACAGTTTTCCAGTCGATTTGGATAGGACGTATAAAAATAATCACTTTGATACCGGTACTGCTTCTTCCAATGTTAAATCGTTTCCCAATTAAATTATTACTTTAAACAACAACAACATCACAATATAAACTGTCATTTTCTACATACTTGAAATTTTTTTAGGTCACATCATTCATTTGAATAAATCTACTTTGAATGATGACTGAAATTTAACATTAGTTTTGATTTAGTAATATTAGTAGAATCATTTCAAACATGCATTCGTTTTTAATGATGGTGGTAATCAAAATTTTGTAGCATACTAATTTTTATGTTTTTTTCTTTACTTCTAAATATTAACTGGTAGATATTTGCAAAATATTTATTCTGAATTACTAGTATTATTCATAATACAACGATAATTGGATACCGGTTCGGTGGTCTATAGGTCAAAAATTCACATGAAACCGAGGGTCCCGGGTTCGAGCCCCGGGAACGATGTCGTTTCACATTGTTAAGAAGTTCTATACTAGGGTGAGATGGCCGTCCGATGCTTCCAGGTTTTCAATGGTGGTCTAACATTGATTAGTTCATGATTTCAATGAGATTCAACAACCTCCACAACACCATCCTGAAAATTATATATATATATATATCTTCAACAAATTGATCAGAAAATATAATCGTTGAGATGATGTTTACAGTATGATGGATACAGCGATAAACTGTTTGTCGCTGACAGAATGTATTTTGTATTATATTACATTATAGTTATTGTTTACGAGTTTTACACGTTTGGATAAATTTTCATTCACTTGTGAATCAATTAGTGGTTTTGTTACCCTCGATTGTTTCATTTATATAGAAAAAGGGTAAAAGTATATTATAGGGATGAACTAATTTTCAGCTAGTTCCTAGATAATCAGAAAACAGCCCCTCTAAATAGATAGTTTTGTATAGAGAAAGAAAACTATTATATTATAAACTGTGGATAGAATTTACATTTTTGATAAATCTGTTAAAATTTACTACAGATTAATGTCCAAGTTAATTGCAAATTAACATAAAATTTAGTTTCTCAGCCGGTGAAATGATCCGAATAAACTTTTCAGAAACGTTACACTGTTCTTGGTTAGGGTTAGGTATTCAGGGTGATGATCAGCGGCTAAAGGTTAGATTTATCATCACAAATCGACATAAGCTACAATGAGAAAATGCTCTGTAACCAAACAGATTAGTAAAGTAAGTGCAAAATAACAAGAGTCACTACTTGGCTAGTTCGTCCATAAAAACTAGTGCCACCAGACTTAAGGTATGTTTCAAGATGAAGGATTCAGGGATAGTATCGATTTACCTATTATATGCAATCTGCAGAGATAAGTTTAGCACTTGATGCTATCATTTTCACTTTATGGCAGCATAAAGTAATTTGTCGTGTTCATGTTAAACATTTTGAGCAGTTTAAAGAGGTGATTTTGCCACTCGCTGCACGTATTATTTATATTTTACTCTAGAATCATGAAGTCACATTCTCGATTCTGATTGACTAATACCTTTGCCGATAATTTTGCCAGAAAAAGTTTATTTTTTGTCTCCTCTGACGCAATTTTTAAGCTATTTTCTTTAAAGTACAAAACAGGCTGATTTCCTGTCCTACAGGGGCCTATAACTGGAGCTTAATTCGTTAACACACTTTTTACATTTTCACTGATCTCTTTTATAAAAATCTGTAATGCGTGTTTTTTGAACATTGTCCTTGATGCAGATCGTTTATAATATAACGTTGATAAAGCTGGGGTTTGCAATCATTTACTTGATAATGAATAATACAACTTAATATGCTAGATAATAGATAGGACACACATTAGGTCACATTTCTAAATAACTCACCAGATTAATTAATTAGACCATCAAGTTAGATCGGATGATAAACAGATACATCATTCCGACCAAAGACTCAAAACAATATATAAGCTGGAACAGTCGTTTATTGACATAAATTCAAAGCAGCCGCACAATGTAAAATCCAGAGCAGAAAAGAATTTATAAATTCAGCGAAATTATATGTCAATCCAAGACAGACCATCGTTAAAAGCTTTGAAACACTAGTCGGCCGTTTTGTCCTGGTATAGGAATCTTCAGCAGTGCGCATCTACAACCCTGTTTCCGGGACTCGGACCCGAAACCTTCGGTCTTGCGCATGAGTGGTCAACCTCTGGCATCCAATAGTGTTGATGTCACGCCATTGCGCGACTATTCGTTGTCTTCGATAGGTAACTGCCTCACATCCGACACGGTTTGGTGAGAAGCCTCAACCAGTGGAGTAAACAAAAATTAAGCTATACATATTTACCCGAAACTTTGAAATAATGACCACTGGGGAATCAACTAATAAAATTATTACCCTGTTGATCTACTGTGTAAGAGCTGTACGGGACTGTCATTATACTACACCCATTTTGCTAAAACAGAATAAATTATGAAATAATGGAGAAAATTTCAGTTAACGTGTATGCTCCGAGCTCAATAGTTTAATCGTGAAACTTTCCGTGTCTCTCTAAACAAAGTTATCAGCTTATACTTTAAGAATGAGTAACCTATTTGAATTTCTTCAAAGTTGACTAACAGCTTACTCTGTTGATGTGCGTTTTTATTAGGTATTGTCTATAATTATAGATAAAATTGACTTTCCGAGGAAGTAGCAGAATAATACTGTTTCTTTGCACAAAATAGCGTTGCGATTTCGGTTTAATCGAAAGTTTTTCAGATAAATAAGTGTAGCCATCAAGGTTTCCAAATTATTTAAATACTTCGTTTTGTTTATGTGGTCCATAACATTTACAAACGTTTCTCATCTTTCCTACGAACATTTTATTTTGATCATAATGATTCCTTTATTGTTTATTTTTTAATTGCATTTATGCATATTATAACAAGTTTTCTTATTGCAAACATTAGTAAATAAGATGTTTTTTCCTTCGTCAATTTAGTCATCCCATTAATATTGTTTTCTGATGGTATCGCCAACTATTATTATTATCTTCATGGTTTACATCACAGACTGATATTATGTAACCACTAAAAACCAGAGAGCATTGAATCACTGTCTTTTCCCAATGTGGGACTGTCCAGCGTTTCCCATCCACAACTCAACCGGGGATCATACCGTTGGGTTGTGTAAATCTAACAATCTTCACAAACCGTCTATACTCACTATTATTATTATCACCATTATTATGATCAATTTACTGGTAAATACTAACGATTTTATCATTGTACCTGCCATGATCAAAATAGCTTTCATACCTTTCTTGTACTCAATTACATCATGGTCTCTCTCTCTCGTGCGCTTGTTCTGTTCACCTATAAATTCAACTTGTGTGAATACTGAAGTACTTATGACTACAATTCACTAGTAAACTTAATGATTTTATACATGTTACATACCAAAATACACTCGTCAAGCATTTTATTTATTTACGCAAATCAGTGCATGGGGGAAAGATTTAGAAAAACACAGATTTATGAAATGAATTCACTTCATCCCACGATGTTTGTTGTTTTTGCTTAACATTAGTCTATAATTATGTTATAACTTTCTGTTTGCTTGATCATTCCATGTCAGTATTAAGTATGCATGAAATTCTGTCTATGAGAGAGAAGGTAACGAACAAGTATGGTGAATTTGAATTTTTTGAATTGTATCTCTATCATATCCAAGTTTACCGAATAAAAGAATTTTCATCTTATCTCTCAGCATGGTTACTTTTCTGCCTGTTAACTATGATCTATCCCGATCAGATATACTTGATTCATATACAGTTTTAGTGTTTGTTGTATTTCAATAAATAAACTTGTTCTTTTCTTTTCGAATTTATAAGTGTAAATCTATAAAATCTATGATTCGTCAGTATAGTTAGCGTTCGTCTTTTTTCATTCATCTTCTATCTGTTTAGTATATTTTATGTTGTCTATTCATTTATTTTCTTTTGTTATCATGTTTGTGTGTATATTTCATCTTGAACAATTCAACTGTTTTAACTTGAACTTATCCCAGATATTGGACATATGGTCAAACTAAGGTAGAATCACTAGGCATGTGTGTGTGTGTGAATGTATACAAATTAATGCGGTAAAACAATAGAAAACGTGATGTGTTTACAATAAGGAAAATGAATGAAATCAATTTGTTCTTGATTAATTATCTGAAAAATGATCAAAACTCACTTGTTAGTTTAAAACTGATTGTAGTCACTACTGTTCACTAATTCAATAGTTCAAACTGAAAGGCTATTTGTTTCTTATTTGAGTAATGAATATTTGTAATCCATGTGTTTTATTTTATTAGTTGTATTGTATAAGTTATTTTACTCAGAGATTAAATTTTTCTTAATAGAATTGTTAGTTGTTATGTAATGGAAGATATTATTTTGTTTTCATGATTTTATGTCTGTCTTTATTTTTGACAGCATTAAATCTACTTGCTGACGCTGTGGCTGATTTACCTAATCCAAAGGTTTTCCGTAGACCTTCAGCACGTCAACCTCGATTAAATTTACAAACTCTTAATACATCAGATGTAATATCTCAGAACATAGGGAATAATGTAGGCAATTGTAAGTCTTAGTGTTTAAATTAGATTAGTATATGATTTACTGTAGTGTTATTCACTAATTATTTTCTCATAACTAATATATGTGAACGATAATAAATTATTAATGAGCTTATGTTCATGTTTTAGCTGTTAATCTCTTCAAACTGAACTACAAGATTGATCGACCAACTAGATACTCAGCTTTAATTTACTTGTTATAGGTTCGAACCCCTTAAAACTCTGGTTTTAGTCCCAACTCAATACATATATGGCTCAGCATCTAACTCACGAGTCTGTATTTGCCACTCTTTTCATGGAACAATTGTTTGATGATGCTGAAAAATATAATTAACAATTCGATAAAATAGTCACTTGTGAAGATGTAATCTGTGTCTGGTTAGTTGTTTTTTTGGCTTGGTAGTGTGGCTGTTAAAAAAATGCATGCGACTCCAAACATTTTCACAAAATTAAACTAATCTCCACTTTCTATGTAAATATGTTCGAGTAAACAAGCGTATACTATCCTAAATCGACTAAATGAAATCCATCAGAATAGCTCACTAGCTTATGAGATGTCACTAGAAAAAGTCAAAATATTTGGATTGTTTACTATCCCAATGTCAATTTTTTCTCATGCCAATATCAGTAATTAAGGTAGGATTTTATTCAGCGAAACATGTGAACACTCTAACTTTCTCTCTGTTTATAATCATTTTATCCAGGTTTATCACGTTTTATCTTCCATTCGCTTTTCTCTTCAATGTTATTGATGGTTTCTTTTTAAATTTTAATTGTTTCAAGTAATCAAAAGTTTTTTTAATAATACATTATTCATTAAACGAACAGTTAATTGTTGATTAAGATCATGAGTTGATCAACGTTAGACCACCATTGAAAACCTTGAAGCACTGAACTAGTGAGAATCCGTGACCAGTGTGGTTAATCCATATCGGTTACCCACTAAAGACAATGGAAGATGGTCACTCAATATCGTGGATTGGCTCAAGTTAGACATTAATACCGTTGGATTCTGGCCCAGTAATCTAGAGGTTAGACGTTTTCATACGGATTAAAGTCGTAAAAAACATAAAAAACAATAAAATTGTGGGGATGGGAATTGTGGAATTACACTGTCTTCAAAATTTAAGATAAAATTAATTCATCATGAATTCATCTCTTGTATAGTTATAGATGTTGAAATGTGTTATCACTTAGGGCTACCAACTTTCGACCAGGCGACCTAAATTTTTCGACAAAATTCATTCATTGATTCCATGAAATCATATATGTTTGTTTAGAGGTGCTTATATTCCTCTCTAATCTACCCTTATTCTGACTAGTAAAGCATATCTGAGGCAAGCGATAGCTAAAATACTCTTTAACCATTTATTACTTTTGATCATTGTCTTCTATGTGTAAGAGAGTACGTTTAACATTGTCATTTTCTGCCTAACAATTTTAAACTATCTGAACATTCTATAAAGATATTTCTATCATATATTGAGCGGCCTGCTTGAATTCCTGGGCTACCTGCTCCTACTCTCATCTAAATATTTCAACAAGTTATCTTTTTCATTTTGTTTTAATACATTATTATGTATATTAGTCGCATAACCTATTTAGGCGCGTTTGTGAAACGTTTACGACATTTCGCTGTACAAGTTACAAAGGAGCCCAATCAGAGACATCGTGGTTGCTGGCAATATGCATCGAAAAGAATATACATTATTCAGATGTCGATTTCTGAACTACTAACATCTAACTGGTGATCACTCAATATTTATCATCAGGATCGATCAAGAAATAAGGAAAGGAAACTCGTTGAGGTACTTTGTTCTGAGAATTCTATATTGTACCGAAAATATAATATTGAATAAAGTCGTTAATAATACATTCTATGTAAAGTAACATAAAATTCAGTCATTTCTGAATTTCGTGCAATAATTCTAAAGTAGTTTTCTCTATTCTGATTGACTCATCCTCGTGCCATACTTTTACCATCATGACCCTATGGTTCAGTCAACTAAATAAAAAATTAGTATTTAGGTATGGGGGGGCGTACAAGCTGTCTATCGATCTGTAGCAATCTAAACTAGATCTGTATACTACTGATTTTTATACAAAGAACGAATTTATTTTCAATTTCTTTCTACCTAATTTAACTTCAGGCGGTATAAAAAATACAAAGAATAAATTATCCTCATCTCATAATAATGATGTCACTGACAACAATCACAATGTTACTACTACTGCTACTCCTACTACAACTACTGGTAAATCTACTTTACGCTTAGCATCCTCTGAACCGGATTTGACAATTACTATGAGAAATTATTCACGTCAACGTGGTGATATACGTGATTTAGATTGGTCAATAATTAATAATGATGGTAATAAAAATAATAAATCATCAAAGCACAAAACTGATAAACGATCCCGTGAACATTCATTAACTTCATTGAATCATCGAATTGGTTATTTACGTCATAAAAAACTGAAACGATCTAAAAGTCAATTGAAATCAACAAATGTTTTAAATGACAGTAAAATTAATGATATACACGGTAATAATAGTTTGTTAACTTTTGGTGAAGGTGAAGATAATGATAATTCAATATTGAAAGAAACAAAACTTTCTTCTAAACTTCATTTTCGGAAAAAAATTAAAAAAACATGGCGTGGAACATGTCGTTTAAATTCACATGAAAAACGTATTGTTAATGATTTATACTTATTTAGTGCTGATAATCTCCCTGAAAAAGTTGGTAAGTAGTCAGTTTAGTTTTTTGATTATTGATGTGTATATAATTCATAATAAATACCTGCAGACTTTTGCACAGTTTCATTTTACTCGGATTTCATTTCTGTATTGAACAAATTATTGTTGCCAATAGCATTCATTCTCCAGTGAACCAAGATCATGATTTATATCAGTAAGTCAGTTAGTAACAACGTAGAACTTCGTACGTATGTACATCAGTTCGAGTTGCCACACCACATTAGCACAGAGATGCAGTTGTCGATTCAAATCCCGTAGTGGTAGAGGTAGTAAGAGTATAAGCAGTAATCGGAAACATTAGGGCTTGAAGATGTTATTCAAGGAGTATAATACAGTGAAATGAATTTAAAAAGAAAATAATGGACACGAAGAATTCAGAAGATTAAAATTTGGGGGAACACAAAGAGTGGATGCACCTGCACCATTGCAAACGATTTTGAGCCATGTCATTCAGGGTCTCTAACCATCGGTTGCTATCATCTCGCGGTCCCCAATCAGGTAGTCTACACCTACCAACATGGCACAGTCCACTTGTCAGTGACTTCATGGACTTGTGCCATGTTTTGGTCTGGCCGCCCCTAGCTTTCTTCCAACCTACTCCTACACCATTGAGCATCGCAAGTCGAGGCAGTCGGTGGTTGGGCATACGTAACACGTGTCCCAGCCATCTCAACTGATGAAGTTTCACTACTTCATCAATGGATTTGCCATCCTTACCTAGTATCCGTTTCCTAACAACTGTGTTACTTACTCGATGGTCCCATGATATACGAGCAATGTTTCGAAGACACCTATGGTCAAATACTAGTAACCTACGAATATCCTCTACTCTTACCGGCCATGTTTCACTGCCATAAAGTAGGACGTAACGAACTGCTGCACAGTAAACCCATCCTTTGGTTGATAGACGGATATCTCGCCTACGCCATAAATGACGCAAGTTGGCAAAAGCTAGTCGAGCCTCCTGTATCCGTGCTGAGATTTCGTCACACACCAAACCACAAGGGCTGATGAGACTTCCAAGATAAGTGAAGCGGTCGATACGCTCATCTACTACACTCCCTATCATTAGTTCGGGTGTCGATGCAACCCAATCCTGAAGCAACATTTTGCATTTCGAGGGAGAGAATCGCATCCCGAACATGCTTGCATTGTTGCTTAGAGTGGTCAGAAGACTCTGCATTTTGTCAGCGTCTTCACCAAATAAAACTATGTCATCAGCATATTCTAAGTCAACAAGCGAATCTCCCGATAAAAGTTCAACTCCTGGAAATTTAGATGAGGAGAGTGTTATCTCTAAAAGCTCGTCAATGACAAAGTTGAACAAGAATGGAGAGAGTGGACAGCCCTGACGAACACCATTTGAGGTAATCAATTCTGCTGACAGTTCGCCATAAGCTGTCACTCTACCAATTGTGTTCGAGTAGAGAGCCTTTATAAGGTTAATGTACTTCTTTGGTACTCCTTTCAGTGACAAACACTGCCATAGAACCTCACGATCTGCAGAGTCGAATGCCGCCTTAAAGTCGGGAAATACTACGATTGTAGGGCGTCTGAACGAGTGTCTGTGTTCTAGAACCTGACGTAGTGTGAATATCTGATCTATACAACCACGTCCAGGTTGAAAACCGGCCTGGTTTTCTCTAATCTGCTCTTCACGAGCTTTGATTAGGCGTCGAAGTATTATTGAAGCTAATATTTTTGACACTATATTAGTCACAAGAGGACTTTTGTCCTTTCTTATAGACTGGCACAAACAGTGATTGAGACCAATTAGATGGGATTACGTCCAGTTCCCGAATTCTACCTAAGACCTCAGTTAATCTCACTGCTAATACTGAACCACCATCCTTGAAAATCTCGGGAGTAAACTTGTCAGGGCCTGCTGCTCGACTGGATTATGAAGACCTCGACATCTGAAGCAAAACACGGAATACAATGGACAGCTTAGAATCAATTAGACGATTTGGACTTCGCAGATGACCTAGCCCTGCTATCACGTACACACGAACAGATGCAGATGAAGACAACCAGTGTAGCAGCAGTCTCTGCATCAGTAGGCCTCAGTATGCACAAAGGGAAAACCAAGATCCTCAAATTCAAAGCGGAGAACAGCAATCCAATCACTCTTGATGGCGAAACTCTGGAAGATGTAGAGTCCTTCACATACCTGGGAAGCATCATCGATGAACAGGGAGGTTCAGATGCAGACGTAAAGGTGAGGATTGGCAAAGCAAGGGTCGCATTCCTACAATTGAAGAACATATGGAACTCAAAACAACTTTCAACCAATATCAAAGTGAGAATCTTCAATACGAACGTCAAGGCAGTCAGTTCTACTGTATGGAGCTGAAACATGGAGAACTACAACAACCACAATCAAGAAAGTACAAGTATTTATAAATAGCTGTCTACGCAAGATACTCAACATCCATTGGCCGGATACCATCAGCAATAGCCTTCTGTGGGAGAGAACAAACCAACTTCCAGCTGAAGAAGAAATTAGGAAAAGACGATGGAAATGGATAGGAAATACATTACGTAAATCGTCAAACTGCATCACGAGGCAAGCCCTAACTTGGAATCCTGAAGGGAAGCGAAAAAGAGGAAGGCCAAAGAACACATTGCGTCGGATAATAGAAGCAGATATGAAAAGGATGAATTACAACTGGAAGGAGCTAGAAAGGATTGCCCAGGACAGGGTTGCATGGAGAATGCTGGTGGGCGGCCTATGCTCCTTCATGAGGAGTAACAGGCGTAAGGAGGCGAATACCCGGGAATCTTAGTGGTAAGCGGTGATGTGTGTAGTGTCAGTCAACACACATTTAACAAAATGTTTCACCAATAACTTGTCGGAATATCGCGATACAATAAATTTGTTGAATAACTGAATGGTACTATGATCTTCACAGGAATTAAAGTTCCTGCGTTTGATATCGTCATCGCATCGTGGATACTTCACTTCTTTAAGAGATTCATACTAGGATAAAACTAATCATAAATATGTGATCAATTTAAAATTATTAGTTATAAGTGATTGTATAATTTGATTTATCTCTTCTAAATCATTGTTAATAGGATGATAACAGTCACCTTGGTCTATATACGTTTTGTCAACTGGTTGAAACTATTGATGGATTGTACTTGTAATTATGTGTCCTGCTTCTGTCCGGGCACCCGGGCAGTATCACATCCCACACACAAGTCACTTGACTTGTGTGGCGCATTGTAATCATTGCCCTCTTGTACCAATATCTATATTCAAATTTAAAAAATATTTGAGATTATTTTGCTACTTTCTTAGTGAAAATGTCGGCTTCAGAATAGAAAGAAAGAATGGCTAGATCCAACTAGTTAATCATAATCAACTTAGGATCTGGCACATATGTGCTTTAGCTCAAGTTTCTGTGCCACATTGGGGCGTTGAGATGAAATTAATAAGATGAATTGGCAAAGAAGTAGAAGAAGGGGTGAAAAAGTATCTATAAAAGACTACTAGAACTCGATAACTAGGGTGAGACGGAAAAGTGAATGCAACTGCGCCATTGTGATTGATTCAGAGCCATATTACTCGTCTCCAATCATTAATCATGAAAATCCTGTGGATCCCAACCAGGTACTGTGCACCTATCAACATGGCTTAGACCAAAAGTCAATGGTTTTGCAGGATGATTCCAAAATTTAGCTTTTCCTTTCCTAGCTTTACCTCTGTCTATTCATACACCAGCTAGCATGGTGTGTCAGGATAAGAGGTGGTTAGATATACGCAACACATATTCTGGCTGTCTCAGTTAATAAATATTCAAAACCACTCCTAGTGATTGAAAACTAAGTTGCGTTCAACATCCACGTCATTCTAGTTTATAACTTATCACCAAGATTTTCAAGTCCTACGATTTAGCCATTTAGCCACTTTGTTGAAATCCCATGGTTCATATTTTCAACCAAAATCACTTTTTGATTAATTGCAACCGTCGTTCAGAAGGAGATATAACTAATTCACTCCCTGCTTGGCTGAACTTCAATTAGTTCCCCACTAGATCTTTAAAAATCCATCTAAAAGCTAGTTGGTCGTGAAAACATTATTGTTACTTAGTCGACTGGTTTAATCTATTTTGGTGACATATTATTTTCTCATATCTATGCTTCAATATCACTTATTGTGTTCCAAATAGCACAAAATACTCATCATGAACCCCATTGTTAGTAAGAACCAAACATATTCAATAAAGATAAGCATTCTCTGTTAGTATTTCTTGATATTTTTCTAGTCTTTATCTGTAAAATGAATTTTCCTATTCGGGATAGCTACATTTCGCGTCAATAATCAATCATTTAATGGAATACAAAAGCTTATCAGATGTTTGCTTTTTAAGGCATACTTATATTCAATGCAATGGAATTTTGTTCAAATAGGTGTGAACGAAATCGAAATGTGTGAAGGACTCCTTATACATGTTTTTTAAGTCCTTAAGATACTTTCATCTTACTTCGTTTTTTATGTGTACATATCATGTCCCAGATATTGTTCCTGTTTTAATGGGTCTTACCAATATTCACAATTCACCAGAAATACTGGTTATAACATAGACTATATGTTATACAGGATTATAAGTATAAAATAGTTTATTATATATTTGATCCATTAAGATAAGTCCGTCCATAATCTCTAACAAATCACGACTCTATTTCACCTTAAATATTAGTAACTCACCATATATATGAATTTATGTACTCTATGTCTTGACACAATGCCTCTGTGAGGGCTAGTGAAACTACTCGGCACCCTAACAAATGTTTGTATAGCTTGGTTTGAACTGACAGCCTACTCATTGAAATGCAGTTACTTTAGGCATTAAGCTCCTGCTCTATTTACATGGTACATTTTTGACTGACAGCTTTATACGTGTACGTAGTTTCTGATTTTCATTTTTATCACAAACATACAGTTTGTTTTTATTGTTCAGTAGCATTAATCTTATTTTTACCAAAATGGGAAATTTTTAGGATTTTTTTCGAAGGAGTGTTCAGAATACTTAACTGTGGCATTTTACCTTCTCAACAATCTCTCTGTTTAATCATTTTTACTCAGGTCCGAACATTTACTTATCTGTTAGTCCAACAACAAATAATCCCATACCAATGTTAGCTAATGTTGTTAGACGATCACCATTATCTAGTAAATACTATCCACAACCATTGAATTTATCAACAAATTTGTCATCTAGTCAACAGACGCAACTACAACAGCATCCACCTCATGATGATATTGAATGTTCTGCGTTGACATCACCTAATCATTTAAGATATCGTCAAGCTAGATGGGCCAGTGAAATAGCATTGAATAAACGTACTAGTGGATTATTTAATATAGAACCTGGACTAGTCAATTCACTAAGTAAGTGGCGATTTTCAATTTGATGCAAGGGTTTTAGTATGTTTAGAGTTTTTCGGATGTCTTTTGTTTTGCAAAAGTGTTTAAATATAAGTTTTATCACAAAAATAAAGCCGAATTACGCTGCATTTGAAATCAGGTAACAATAGACTTGTACTTTATTCTGATATTTTCGTGTGAAGGGGTTCACAGCAATGTACATTCTGAATTTCATCGAAGAACAAACACAGGTTTGTTCCTCATTTCAAACCACTCAGCAATATAGAACTATTGTGGTGTATACTACTTATGTTGACAGATATAGTAGTATGTAACACCGATCGGTAATTGAATGCGTGACAGAAGAAAATTGAGAAGATCCAATTAAGTAGAACAGAAAGCGAAGTTGAAAGCAATCGCAATAACAACAGAGTTGATAGACTTATGAAGCATGTAAAGGGCGAATGAAGATGTACAAATAATATATTTGATGTATGATTAGCATATTTTACGAAAGGACTCTTTAATTTAGAATTAAACAATAAGTCGGTTATCTACACCTGAGTTCCAATTCACTAAACTATCTTCATACCATATTTATGGTGAATTATTGTGTTGAAATCTCGAAAACTGTGATAAGACAGCTGCTTTCAATAGTTTTCTAGTTGGTATCTGTATCACTAAAACCATGCAAGTCTTTCCAAAAGAAAGTGGTGTGTGTGGGCTGTGATACTGCCCGGGTGCCCAAACCGAAGCAGGTGGTTTTCTTAGGGGCCCACACCCGAAGCTTTCGACCTAAAGGCCTACTCCACAAGGCAGTGGAGCATCGTAAGGAGATGCAGTCCCATGGTAGCCAGTGACCAACGTTTGGTTCATACGCCATTCGTGGTTTCAGGATACTGGCACCCATGTACACCGTAGGTTTGGATTCAGGGTTTTCCGACTCCCCAAGGTGGACTCTCTGTATCCACCAATCCAGTTAAAGCACCGGACATTCGCTTTTTGTCCTCTCAATTTCGTAAACAACACCGGTGGCGTGAGAGGGCAGTGAGTAGGAATTCCCTGGCAGAGGCTATATACGCGTGGCCATGTGAGAGCATTTCGAGAGGGATAGCGGACTCTCCCCACTGTTGGCCGTACCAGGGAATTCGGGGGCATTATTCATAATGTATACTTTTAATTCATTGGAAAATTTAACATAATGAATTTTAAGACTGGTAAAAGGTATCCAGTTCCAGTGAGTGACGTATTGTACCGATTCATGATTTCCAAAGTATAATGAATAGTATTACCTTCATACTTTGGTTACAGCAAACATGTCCATTTCTTAATTGCTTTTTCATACATCATTAAATAATCAACAATCAAATGCGTCATGTTACATATGAAAATCACCAAATGTTGGGAAAAAGTTAGGGACGGCCAAACCAAAACATGACATCAGATCATCAAGTCATTGACTGTTGAACTGAGCCGTATAGGTAGGTCCACATTACCTGATTGAATTCCACATGATTGTCTTAACCAATGGTTAGCGAGGTTGACTGACAAGCCACAAATACATTTAATCTTTTTTCCCCTTCAAATCTTGGTTTTTAAAATTAGATTATACATTCTGTCCCATGAATTCATTCTTCCCAAAACATATTGGTTGTGATTTAAGATCATATGATCTATTCCCTAGTCAGGAATCCGATTGTCCATTAAGTCACGTATGTGGTTAATAGGACCAGTGACCTATTTTAGAAATGGCCTAACCGTTCAATAAACTGCAATCAAGGCGTTAACACGTATTAGTCCTCAAACCTTTTATAACCCTGTGGCCATTTAGAAGACACAAATAGGAAGCAGATTAGTTATCAGTTGTGCTCGATTCATTCATTGCTCAAAGTGCATACATTAATGTATTTAAAATGACTGACTACACGACACACCAAACGAGGGATTACACGTTAAGCACAATCATACCATAAGTGGTAGGGGGGGCGGAGCAAACAGTACATAATTAATTAGCAATAGCTCAGGTATATTAAAACGCTCAACAAAGGTTAATGGGTTTACTGAAATCTTACATTAAGAAGCATATAGAAATGAAACAATAATGTTGTCTACTAATCACACAAAAAATTATAAAAATAATAATAATAATCCGAAAAATGGTTCCGAATGTTCCGATTTTTCCAATATCCATCGCCGTATAACAATATTACATATGCCTAATGTTTTCTGCAGTCACTAATACCGTTACTCTTTCTACTACTCTATTATCTCGCTGTACTGAAAGTTGTGTAGCAACGTGAACAGATACACGTATGGCTGGCTAACTGAAACGTTGAGAAATGAAAATAGGTGTAAGAAAATGAAATTTCGTTCGTGCTATTTAAGTACATTGTGATGTCTTTTTTGATAATATGCAAATTCATTTAGACAGTATATTCATAACCCTATAAATCTTTTTAGTGTTTTTATCAACGAAAAAGTTCGCATTTTCATTTTACCGATTTCCATATGCTACTTAATTAACACTAGACTGATGAATTATCGCTACAGATTTATCTCCATGTTTGTTTGTATTTACATCATAGTCATACATCGTTCATTGTATATTCAGCTCATTAATTTGTTGAAGATTATGGTGATCGATTACGGTTTACGGTCACTTACATATTTAGTAGTTGAATTCATGAATCGACTCATGAATTCAACCATCAAAATTACTACAAGATTCACAAACTCCATTCTGATCATAATTACAACTTTATCAGCATCATTTAGAACACTGTAATCAATAGACAGAAACCCACTGTATATTTATCTTTGTATATTCATAAGGCTAAATTGAAAGAACGACTTACACATTTTATTCGAAAATAACATTTTTACTGTATACATGTAAATAAAAGAGTGACTGTATATCATACAATCACCTTGACCTAAATTATGTGTCCAACATCCGAAGTTCAAACCATTAGTAATAAGTTAGTCAAAAATCATGTAAATCATTCCTCAGTGATGTTTGGGTATAATCGTCCATTATTACATATTGATTAAAGTATAGTAACGTCAATTGTTAATTACGGATATATCTACTGTCCGTGATGATTTATTTATTCTCGGTAGAGGTTTATGGTGTACAGTGTTATATGATGCCGAACATGAGTGATTAAGACATCTTTTATTCCATATCGTTTTATTATTCAAATCACTATCGAACGAGTTTAAAACACTAACTTAAACCACACTAGAATCACGAACCGACTTGAACTAGACAAATATTGAAACCTAGAAGCACTGGACAGCCGTTTCTCCAGAATGGAGGACTCCCCAGCAGTGAGTATCTATGACCCCACAACCGGGAGTCGAGCCCAGAACATTCTGTTCCCGCCCACGAACCCTTAGCCTTTAGACCACTGAGCTGTAATCGAATACTGTACAAGTCTAAATTCGATCAATCCACTATATTGCTCGATCACGTTCCTATACTGACAATCAACTTAAACACTTTATTCTTATAGATCGTCTCACATTTTTCAAGATTCTTGTCATAGACAGTTAATTTACTAATATTTTAATTAATGTTATGAATTGCCTGTCTTCATTTTTAAAAGTAACATTGTTCATCTTTCATAACTACAATATGTAGTTTACATTGCTTATACTACTCATCACATGTCTAGCTTATTTTTGTTTGACTATAAATATCGACTCACGCTTAGTTAAATCGAGTTAGCTCACACGCCTTCGCCACTGCGCATCATTTCGTTTCGCTTCGCTCTCTCCGCTTCGTTTCCCTGATTGTCTGTTCAGACCAACAACTGTACGAAATATACGTATTCAAACCTCTTTTTCGTATTAGACTTATTTAATTCGGTTATTTACTAACGCGATTCAAGTCGATTATTATATACAAAGTTTGACGGCATGCATGTTTCGATAGCAATCATCATGCGATATAACTGGAGTCAGATATTGAGCCACCAAAATGATCATCCTGACATGCGAACGTGACGCAATTTTCGATGATACGATCTTACTGGAGTCACATACACAAGTGCCACACGAAAAATCTATGTAATTTATTAAATAATTGAATAGGTAAATTATTCAACTCCATCTAGTTTTAAATTAGATTAGAAAATGTTGCTTATACATGGTCTTTGATACAACACACTAACTTATTTTTCATTTTCCAATCGTTATCTATGTATGATTTGAATAATTTATTTCATTTTCCTATCAATTTCTGCATTAATAAAACAAAGATTGAATAATGACGGTTTCTTTGATTTGATTGTACACTGAAAAAAATTGATTTGTTTACTTTTGTTCTGTTTAGTGATTTTATATTTAATATTTTTCTTGCAACTAGTAGTATCCTAGTAGGCAGTAGTATGTTTAATTTCTCCTTTTTATCTTTTTGGTTGGAAAGTATGTAATCTTCAAATACAACTTATATAAAAAGAAGTAAATATCAGTTCTGATAAATGACTGTTATATTAAATTATTCAATATGATCAGAAGGGGTTTTGTGAAGATTCTAGTAATTTCAATAGTTGAAATCATGAGTCAATTGAAGCTAGACCACCATGGAAAACCTGGAAGCACTGGACGGCCGTTTCGTCCTAGTATGGGACTCTATCCACCATCCCGCTCGCCATGAGATTCGAACCCAGGACCTATCAGTCTCTCGCGCGAGCGCTTAACCATTAGACCACTGAGCCGGCATCCAACTTTTACTCACTGAATTTCACTATAAATTGTGTTTAGTTTCAAATATTCAATTCATAAATTCGAATTATTTTAACTGATATACAATGAATTACCTTAGATATATTTCCAATTATACTGAGGTCATCACCAATAAAGCTTCCATTATTAAACTGGTCTCTTTATCCTAATTAGTGGGACAGGGAGGAAGAGGAGCTGCGAAATATATGAAACGTGTCACTTTTACAAACATTCTAATTACGTAAAGAGGTTCATTTTGTGAATTTATTCTTGTTAAATTTACAAGTGAACAATTT